CTCTTAATGATGCATGTTCTTGCGTCATTGCTCTTGGATTCATTTTATAATTGCACAGGCGGTTCGATCAATCACAGTAGTTCAGCATGCAAGAGTCAATCAGTCAGTGTCTTGAATTTCATCTTTCTCTCCCATTCTTAATCTGATCTCCCCGTGTTCTTACTTTAATCTCTTTTTCCCCTTATGTCCTCCCCGCTCTCTTTTTTCTCACTCAATTCTTTTACTTTTGTCTCTTCTTTCTATATATATCTCACTCCCCTCCCTCTCTCTAACATAATGTTTTTTAGTAGGCATCATTACAGATCTCATTATGTGTAATTACACCTGCCCGTTGCTGCTGACAATTCTGTGGGTTGTGGCATTACTGTGGAAACCACCAAGCTCAATTAGCTCAGGATTGATACTGCTTTGAGTTTGAGGAGACACTGTACATCAGTCACAGTCAAGCTCATCTGACCGGCTACACCCGGCTGTTTAATGAATATATATCATTTTAACCCTTCACATTCATTTCTCCTCTCTCATCATCTGTTTGTCGGTTTCCCCCTCAGGATACACCAAGTCATCCCACAACGCTCTGGATCTGAGTTGTATGTACTCAGAACGATCTCAAGTTAAAGCTGTAATGTGGTCGTATGTTCAGGATCCTAGACGCTTTTTGCAGTCAGCTGCTGTTTTGGGCTGGATCACAACCTCTGTAGTGCTCCCTGTGACGCCTGAGACAGCTGGACAGTATGCCTGCACTCTGTATCTGAAAAATGGAAAATCAGTGCAATATATGTACACCGTCACAATGGCCAGTATAGGTGAGAGAAAGTGTATGCTATTCTTTTCTCTCCCTCTGTCTGGCACTTTTTTTTTTTTTGCTTCTCGCTATTTATTTTTTTTGCTGGACATTCTTTAAGTCAAGGTGTCAACACTCACTTTAAAAAACGGAAAATGGTCAGACTGCAGGTGAATATTTATTCCAATTAGTTATTTGTATGCTATTCTTTTCTCTCCCTCTGTCTGGCACTTTTTTTTTTTTGCTTCTCGCTATTTATTTTTTTTGCTGGACATTCTTTAAGTCAAGGTGTCAACACTCACTTTAAAAAACGGAAAATGGTCAGACTGCAGGTGAATATTTATTCCAATTAGTTATATTTGTTCTGTGTGATAGACCTTCTGTGTTTCATTGAATTTAATGAACCAGTGACGAGAACATTAGTTAGTGGAATCATGTAGGTCACCGGAAAGGTCACATACCATACTGTAACACAATCATGTGCGAGCCCCTTGACCAATCAATTTCATGAAACCTAACTCCATCATAATGGATGATTTAAAACATGGCTAGTGAGTCTCTGGAGCAGCAGGGTGCAGAAAATAGACCTTCTGCAGAATTCTGCTGTTAAAGGGATAGTTCACACAAAAATGAAAATTCTGTCATCATTTACTCATCCTCATGTTGTTCCAAACCTGTGTGAATTTCTTTCTTTTATTGAACATGAGAGGAGAAATTTTCAAGAATGTACTGGTAGCTCATCAGAACTAGAGGTGCATTTTTAAAAAGTATTTTTAAATGTCTAAATTTTAGTGAGAGACACTGCAAAAGATATAAGTCACAAGTGCACATCCATCCAATGCATGTTTACATAGAAAACAATGGAAAAGCAGCACAACGGAATGGAAAAAAAAACATGAGATGCAGGGCACTGGAAAAAACCGCCTATGCTCAACTTTAAACTTGAGTGCTGCATTTTTAGAATGCCATGTGATACATGAGACACTTCAGAATACACGAGACACAATAGTAATAATCAGACATGTCTAGAGCAAGTTTATATAGAAAAGCTATGGAAAAGTGGAAAGCAAAAATAAAACAAAAAAACATTTTGTGTGACCAACCCCTAAGAGTGGTCCATAAAAGTCTTCTGAAGTCATATGATAGCTTTGTCAGAGGAACAGAGTGAAATTTAAGCCCTAGCTCTGCTTAGTGAATTAGCAATGTCGGCTTGTGAATGAATCATTCATTTGAATCAGATCTTTACAATCAATCCACTAAACTGCTTCACAAATCCATTTCAAATGATTTATTCACAAATTCCTGCCTCTGTCATTTAATTTGTCAAAGAGGGATAGAGCAGATGCCCCTATTTTCAGTAAATTACTTAAATAATGAAACAAACGATGACGAAATTTGAATTTCTAGGTTCAGATGCAAAAACAAATTTAATTCAGAACTATTTAAAACATTATTACTATTATTTTATTATGTTGCTGTTATTTATTTTTTGCTGGAGTTTAAATCATGATTAGAGGGTATTTCAAAGTCAGCAGTGTCATCAAACATACAACATGCAGATCACAGTGAGACTGAGAGAGGGTAGATAAGAACAGCACCATTCATTGTTTGCATGAATGATGTCACCTCACCATATGCAAAACATATGTTGTTCATTTCTCTTCCTCATCCTCCATGTCTCTTCATCTTTCCAAAACATGCATTCAGGGATATTTAAATACTCATTAGATCATGTCTACTGTTGGTATCATTTGTTTCTTCTGCTTTCGCTGTGTTTGCATCTAAAGTTACATACGCTGTCCCACTATTTGATTTGATTTTATTGATTTATATTTTAAATATTTTATTTTCCTGGAATTAATTAATACATTTCTAACCATTCCTGTCTACTCAACTCTTGTTGAAGGTCCAACATTTTCTCCAGGGCCTGCACTGCCTCCTGCAGGTGAGTGCTGATACACACACTTCTGCACACTCACTGATGGGTGACATAACTTAGCGTTTCTTTTTCTGCCTTTCTCACACTCCCCCCAGCAGGAGATGTTTCAGCATCCTCTTATGTTTCCACCTTCTCATTCCTCCTATTTCTGATCCCCCTGATTGCCGTAGCTGTTGGGGTGTTGCTATGGAGACAGGGCTATTGCCTCACCAGTGGAAGTAAGGCCCTGCATTTGTCTTTTCCCCCCTGAGTCTGTCCATCAAATATCTGAAGGCTGTCAGTTCACCCTGGCAGATGTTGATGGACAGAAGCCCTCACGTGTCTGTGTTCACATAGGTGTCGAGCAATCGCTGTCTCACCTCTCCGGAGAGGTGGAGAACATCTATGAAAATCCTGATGATCTAAGACAGGTGATTGAAATGCACAGCACCTCCTTCTCTCCCTCTATTTTGCTGTTTCTCCTTCTCCCCCCTGCTGTATTATTAAATCTATTTTTACTACCCATTCTTTCTTTCATTCTCTCTCTCTCCTTGTCGTTCTTTCTCAATGTATATCTATCTCTGCTCTATTATTAAATATATTTCTCCCTTCCTCTTTTTCTCCCTCTCTTCTCCCAGCAGACACCTCCCCAAGGCGCAGTCTACATGGTGAGTTATTATAGTCCTTCTCAGGCAGAGCAATGAGTAATTGTGTGTGTGTGTGTGTGTGTGTGTGTGTGTGTGTCTTCCAAAAACCGGGTCCCAACAGTTTACAATCTGTTTGACAGTGTGTGTGTGTGTGTGTGTGTGTGTCTTCCAAAAACCAGGTCCCATCATTTTACAATCTGTTTGACAGTGAGTGTGTGTGTGTGTGTGTGTGTGTGTTTCCTCCCAGTTCTGTCACGCCTGCATTAGTGATATTAGCAGATGAACCGAATCAAACCTCTGCCAAACTATAAATCTGAGACATCTCCGCCCTTCTCATCCTTGTCCCTGTTTGTCTCTCTCTCTAGGATCTCAAGCCAACGGGTGAAATGGATGTATATAAAGAATTAGATAGGTGAGACATGATTGGCTGCAGGTCATGTGGGGGACAGTGCAGGCGTGTCATTTTTCATGTGCTCTTTGTGCATTAATCGTCCTGATAATGTTTTCCTTCTCTATGTGTGTGTGTTTCATTTCAGATACAACCAGTTGTGTGGTTGAGTTTATTAAACATTTACAGTGAAACTGTATTTGAAATAAAACTTAATATGTATATGTGACTTGTGTCTTATCTTATGACACTTAATTGTTCTTGTTACTAGTACGGCACTTATTCAAAAAATGTTTGAGGTTTTCAAAAACTTTTTCTCATTTTGTGTTTTCTTACTTTTTCATATCTGTTTTGATAGCAGCTTTTTATAATGTCAATAATAGTACACTGTAAGAAGAGAATATGTGGGGACAAAATGGTACTATGCAGGTAAAATAAGCATATTTTCAGTTAAGTTTATAGACCTTTCTTTTAACCCCAAAACACAACACAAACATTGCATAATTCAAAATATGTGGAAAACACCTTTGAAAATGTCTGTAAATTTCAAATTATGGTTGCCATTTTATGTATTATAAAAATATCGTGTCTTGTAAAGTTACATTAAACTCATATAGCAAATACTTATCCACAACACAATTATGAAAAGTTAATACTTCATAAAATATGAATGTAAAAAAATATAATTGTTATTTGTTATAAATATTTATTTGAAAATACCATTTGTTTATAATAGAAATATTTATTCTGTGTCAAAAATAAGTCCATCAATATGTATACAAAAATAAATATATCATGACATGTTTCAGCAAAATAAATAATTGATTAACTGATCAATTGATTGATTGATAAAAATAAAAAAATATGACGTGAGCAAATAAATAAAACTTGATGCGTTATGATCACATTCGTGCATTGAAACACTATCTTTTACTATACATATATTTATTATAAAATGAGATTCGTTTATAATACATCTGTTTGTCCAATGTCAAATTTAAATTAACATATCATAAAATAAACATATAAGGACTACTTTTTCAGCAAATAAAAATACATTAGACACGTGAACAAACAATTGAGCCTTATTTATTATAAGTAATCCATTTTATTTATTGATTGCAACATTTTATGATGTATTTATTTTATTATGGTGCATTTATTTGATTAATTTTGTCTGTAATATTCCTTCATAAAACACATCTCTTGTTCAATGAACACCTAAGCCGCGGATGTGACGTGGTTTTATTTTTCGCATTCGCTGCTGTAGTACTTCTGAATCTGATCCTCGCAGGCCGCCGTAGTTCCTGACCGAGGTGAGAATGGCCGGCTGGATGTGGCACCGGTGCCTTTTCGGGCCCAATCTACAGCGGGTCCATCGCTCACCGGACCAGACACGTACTGACGGCAGACCGCCCCGCAGGGTACGACTCTGACTTCCCCTTTAGACTGAGCCATAGCCTTAAAACACTGCTGAGATCAGTCTCGCAAGAGTGTGCGGAAGTGCATTATTGTGCTATTGGCGGAGTCTCAAATCTTAGTGAGCTGCCTATCTAGACAGCATTTGATCATCATATGCGATTTGATTTGATCGGATCGGAACGGAACAAATTCAAATGATGTCCTAAAACACTGTATAGATAGGCAGCTCACTCGGTTTTGAGACACATCCATTGACAGAGAGCTTATCTCTAATGGTCGAATGAGCACAACCATAACAACACTATTATCGCACACACGCGTCGAATTATTGCGTTTCTGTTTGGGTTAGACATCTGACATTTGTCATTGCTATGAATCATACTTAGACTGTTGCAATAATAACTGAATAATGAGTAAAATGGTGGTAATCTTTCTTTTACCCTCTTCACAGAGAATCTACCCTTTAAAATACCAAGGAAACGTTTTGTTTTTACTACTGTAATTTATACTGTAGGCTCTCCCTCAAAAATAATTAGTTTGTTTGTTTAACGTTGTATTGGCTAAAACTAGAGACTGACAGATATTGTTGTAACCATCTATATTTATCTAAATGTTTTCATGTCTAGTCATTTTTTCCCTTTGCTTACTTTGTGCTAATTACATTATTTATACATGCTGTATACTTCACAGATATTTCACTGTAGCAAATTTGTCGAAATAAATAGCATTAGGCTATAACTGTATTATTGGGCTAAATAATAAATTAGGCTATAACTGTAAAAACACAATATGGATTTTGACTTTTAATAACAATAACAGCATCAATAATGATACTCTAGTACTACTAGAGTCTACTAGTTGTCATGGGATATAAATTAAAACATTTCTTTTCATGTGTTTATGTGAGTCTGCTCCAAAAAAAATGAATGGTTGTGGAATGAATAGTTTTTATGTGAAAAAGAATGCATACAAACAACCAAACAATAAATTACAGTGAACCTTTGAAGAGTAGATATGCGAGAATATTGGTGCATTGTGTCTATCAAACCTATTTTTGGTCTGTATCTAATACCAAGTGACCACAAGTTTTTTGTAACAATATCTGTGGTTTTAATAAATATAGAAACTATGGTCACCATGGCAAACTTTTGTAAAGATACACCAGACTCATAACTGGCGTTTCTTTGTCTTATGTAGGGCTGGAATTATCAGCCCAGAGGTTTGGAGAGACACACAGACAGCATCCTCGGTTGGGTATGTGATCACAGTTTCATTGCACATTTTCCTGCAGTTGGTGTAGTGACCAAATGTTAAAAAAAGAAACAGCCCAAAGGTTTTGTAATATGAAGTTTAATCACTGTCATGTGTTGTCCTTCAGGCCTCGGTGCTGTGGTCTCTGTCCTACTACAGTTCTCCACTGCTCCTCTGTTATCTCTATAGGAAAGGTAAAATACAAATACAGCATAATATAACCACAAACCTATTTGTTTATGTGCTAAAATTGTAATTCTACTGTCCAATACACCTACAGGTAAAAGTGTATTATACATGCACTAAACACTTTTATTTTTCTTCTTGTTTCCATTTTGTTACTATGTAAATAATTAGTGCTGTCAAACGATTAATCGCATCCAAAATAAAAGTTTTTGTTTACATATGTGTGTGTACTGTGTGTATATTTATTATGTATATATAAATACACATGCATGTATATAATCAAGAAAATGTTTGTTTATATATTAAATATATTTATATCATATAAATGATATGAATATAAATTTATGCATGTAAATATTAAAAAAAATGTATACTGTGTGTGTGTTTATATATACATAATAAATATACACAGTACACATACATATATTATGTAAACAAAAACTTTTATTTTGGATGCGATTAATCATTTAACAGCACTATAAATAATATACCAAATATTGTGCGTTTCTGCATGCAGATCTTAATGTTATTGCATAAGCAGTTGTTGATTGGTTCAGTCTTAATGTTACGTTCAGCAGGTGTAATCATATCATATGAGTCACAGGCTAATGCTCTCACAGTAGTGCTGTATGTATTTTTAGTCCGGTTCATAAGAGGTTTTAGACCTGAAGAGCACTGATATTCAGGTTGTGAATGAGCTGTGCTGTACTGAATGAGCTCTTTTACATCATGACTAAGGTATGATCTTGTTTAATTTGAGCATTGGAATAGCTGAATCAAAGATGTTATGGTGCAAGTGTAATATTAAGGTACATAGAATGCAGTTCAAATACTGTAGTTAAATGTTATATCCAGTATGATGTAGTTATGTGATCATGGTTGTATTGTATATCTTATTGATATAATGGTATCAGTGGAGATTGTCTTTGCTGTTCTCTTGCGCGAGAGAGTCTGTGCCTTACAAAGATGTGGTTAATAGCATTCTGTAATAATTGTGTTATTAAATGACAATCAAGCACTGCTAACTGTATTTGATATTGTTAGGTTACGATGATAATGAAGTTACATGACAGATTCTATCTGCAGATTAAGTTCATTACTGACCACTAATAACAAGATGACTGATTTTTTCTGCTGCCCCAGATGAGCCAGTATTTCCACATTTTTCCACCATGAAAACTGATATGTATTATTTTTTAAGTCCAAATCAGAAACCCAAGCAGTGATATTCATGATATATTATTTGTGCCATAGACTCCACAGTTTGAGAACAAGAGAAAAAAGTTGGACCCCTAATGCGCAGTGTTAGATTTTTGCTAAACCTATACAAACACTGGCCTGTAGATTTCAGCTGGAAAGAAGTCAGTAGTCCGTAAGTAAAGCTTGTTTCTCTCTTTCTCTTAGTCTTTGTGTTTTAGAGGGGTTTGCTTTAATTGGGTGTCATCGGCTAGCTCTTGAGATGTGTGCATGTTTCTAATGTTCTTGCACTTCCTCTGTCTGCAGGAAGCTGTCTAAAGGTGGCGTGTCCCTGCTGAGGCCAGAGCCAAAACACAGAGGAGCAGCAGACAGTGTGCTAAATTCAGTTCGCACACTACCATGCCACATCTTGAGGTAAGAGTGTGTGATAATACATTGACTTTATTGTTAGGGTTGTACAGATGCATAGGTTTAGATCAGAGGTCACCAGCGTAGGTTCTCATATGTGTGTTTTGTGTAGTTATTTGATAGTGCACTCGTTCGGCCGGAGGATGCTATACCCGGGCTCAGTGGGTCTGCTGCAGAAGGCCATGAGACCCATGTTACAGCAGGGCCAGGCCAGACTCGTAGAAGAGGTAACACACATACAAGTACAAACCCACACTACAGTACAACACATTCAAATCACTTCTCAGGAAAACATGTAGCTTCTCACGTTATGAACTCCCATGGAAATGGAAATATCAGGGATTTCAAAAAAGACATAAATTAGCAATAAAAAAAACTTTAAGAACTAAAATGAAAAATTATCTTAAATTTGAATTTTATGAGTGAAATCTTTGTTAAATATTTTTTTTCTTGTTCAGTAATTTTTTTTTTGCAGAAAATGCCATAAAACGGCATTTTATATGTAGGTTACATATGTGATTGTATTATCCAAAAAATCCACACATGATCTTTACTTAATATCCTAATGATTTTTGGCATAAAAGAAAAATCAATCATTTTGACCCATACAATGTATTTTTGGCTATTGCTACAAATATACCCCAGCGACTTAAGACTGGTTTTGTGGTCCAGGGTCACATATTAATAAAAACATAATAAAACATACAAATAACATTAGCGAGGTTTATGTGAAGTTTTTACATACATGTAGTGAAAATGAGGTATTATTTAAGGCTAATTGATATGAAGGCTGTGATAACACATCTATAATGTAAATCCATAACAGCTATCACAACCACAAACATATTTAAAATACAGTAAAACAGTAATGCATAAAAATACAGTAAAACAAAACATTTAATTAATCTATTAAAACAAGCTGAGGCCAGAGCCAAAACACAGAGGAGCAGCAGACAGTGTGCTAAATTCAGTTCGCACACTACCATGCCACATCTTGAGGTAAGAGTGTGTGATAATACATTGACTTTATTGTTAGGGTTGTACAGATGCATAGGTTTAGATCAGAGGTCACCAGCATAGGTTCTCATATGTGTGTTTTGTGTAGTTATTTGATAGTGCACTCGTTCGGCCGGAGGATGCTATACCCGGGCTCAGTGGGTCTGCTGCAAAAGGCCATGAGACCCATGTTACAGCAGGGCCAGGCCAGACTCGTAGAAGAGGTAACACACATACAAGTACAAACCCACACTACAGTACAACACATTCAAATCACTTCTCAGGAAAACATGTAGCTTCTCACATTATGAACTCCCATGGAAATGGAAATATCAGGGATTTCAAAAAAGACATAAATTAGCAATAAAAAAAACTTTAAGAACTAAAATGAAAAATTATCTTAAATTTGAATTTTATGAGTGAAATCTTTGTTAAATATTTTTTTTCTTGTTCAGTAATTTTTTTTTTTTACAGAAAATGCCATAAAACGGCATTTTATATGTAGGTTACATATGTGATTGTATTATCCCAAAAATCCATTTGAGAGTTACCGTACCTTTGATCTTAATTATAATTACACTGAAAATGCATAATTACTGTACACTTTCTATATAGTTGTCAATTTCTTTGAAAAATATTTAGAAATCCCTTATTCAGTACCTTGTGTTTTTTAAATGATTTTGAAAATGTCTCTTATGCTCATCAAGGCTGCATTTAAAATACAGTAAAACAGTAATGCATAAAAATACAGTAAAACAGTAATATTTTAAGAAAATAGAACAATTTAAAATAACTGTTTTTTTATTTTAACATATTTTAAAATGTAGTTTATTGCTGTGATGGCAAAGCTGAATTTTCAGCATCATTACTCCAGTCTTCAGTTGTGCTACTTAATATTTCTGCTGCTTAATATTTTTGTGGAAACTGTTATTTCAGGATTTTTCAATTAAAGGGGACATATGATGCTATTTTAAAGATCATTATTTAGTGTAACAGAATATGTTGACATGCTTTAATGTTAAAAAAACTCACATTATTTTTCAAATACTATACATTATTGTAGGTCCTCTATGCCCCGCCTTTGTGTAATATTAAAATTTGTTTGATGATCTGAATCTTTTAAGTGTGACAAACATGCAAAAAAAATAAGAAATCAGGAAGGGGGCCAACACTTTTTCACACCACTGTATGTGGGGGCGTGTTTGAACTCCAGTATATACTCTATATGGAAATTCATCGATTATTTGTGTGTTTATGTTCAGTATGACGGTCAGCGGAACAAACTGGTAGCTTGTGATGGGAATGAAATTGACACCATGTTTGTGGACCGGAGGAAAGATGGAGGACGAGCCGGAAAAACTCTGGTAAGTATGTTTATAGTGTGAAGTAAATGTACCACTACAACAGAGCAGAAGAAACCATACTAGAGGAGCTTCACGGAACAAAGTAGTATATTGAAATAACGTATTATATACTGATATAATGTACATCACAGGTGATCTGCTGTGAAGGAAACGCAGGATTCTATGAGGTCGGCTGCATGAACACACCACTGGAAGGTAAATGTTTGTGGCTCAATGCGTCTGTGTTATATTTTATTTTACATTACATTAAAGCACTAGATGCATGTCAAACTGTTTCCTCTCAGGTGGATATTCAGTGTTGGGCTGGAATCACCCAGGGTTTGGCGGCAGTACAGTAAGTCAACATCACGCCATCTGTTCCTCACACTGACCTTGGCATAACAGCACACAATTAATGACACAAGTAATGTAGGATTCGTATGTGTTTTATCCAAAATGTAAAATGGTTGGAAACCTCTGTGTTTTTCAGGGAGTTCCATTTCCTCAAAACGAGGCCAATGCGATGGATGTCGTCATTCAGTTTGCCGTGCACAAATTGGGCTTCCAGTTGAGTGACATTATTGTGTACGCCTGGTCAATAGGGGGCTTCACAGGTAAACAATCCCACACCAGCCATCAGAAAACACTGATCCACAACAGAAAAAAAGGATTAATTTGTTTTCGTTCTTAATGTGCTGCTCTATTTTAGCCAGTTGGGCTGCGATGTCTTACCCAGAGATCCGAGCTCTGGTTCTAGATGCCTCGTTTGATGACCTTTTACCACTTGCGCTAAAGGTCATGCCTGAAAGCTGGAGTGAGTGCTTTATTCTTTTCATCTCTACTCGGTTCTCGAAGGAGTGACCTAAAAAAATTAACAAACGAATGGGTTTGTTTCCATTCCGCAGGACCCTTGGTCACCCATACAGTGAGGCAGTACATGAACCTGAACAACGCTGAACAGCTCTGCAAGTTAGTCACCTTTTATTATGATTTATTTAAAAGTAAAAACAAAACGTTAACAGTATGAGCTTCATCTAAATATGTTTGCTCTCATTTCAGGTACCAGGGACCAGTGTTATTGATCAGAAGAACCAAAGATGAAATCATCACTACCACGTGAGTTATCCAGGACACGGATGAACACACACTGATGCTTGCGAAGGCAAACGTGAATTGTTGTTGATGTTGACATGGCATGTTATGTTTTTATACAGGGGTCCAGAAAACATCATGTCTAACAGAGGGAATGACCTGTTGCTCAAACTACTCCAGTACAGGTCAGACACAGATCACACCAACTGCTTCATCTGGTTCTGCTCTGTCGGTTGCTTTCATCTCTCTTTCTCTGTGTCTCTCAGGTATCCTAAAGTCATGACAGAGGACGCTCTCAGGGCAGTCAGGCAGTGGCTCGCAGCAGGGACACAGATTGAAGAAGGTGTGCTTTTATAGTGAATTCATTTTAAAGGGATAGTTCAGCCAAAAAGGAAAAGACCTTCATTCATCTTCAGAACACAAATTAAGATATATTTGATGAAATCCGAGAGCTTTCTGACCCTGCATAGACAGCAATGCAACTGACACATTCAAGGCCCAGAAAGGTTTTAAGGACATCATTAAAATAGTCCATGTTGTTATTTTTGTTTTCTTTGCACACAAAAAATTATTTCGTAGCTTTATAAAATTAAGGTTGAACCCCTGATGTCACATGGATATGAACTGCACATGGATATAAGTAATATAGATTATTAATATTAATGTTAAAATGAACAATAATAATAATATTATTAACTAATTAATTTTTATTCTCTTGGTCATTATTGAAAAAGAATATTTTATGTAAAATATTAATATTAACATGTATTTTTCTTCCTTAATATCTGAGGTCGATTATATTTAAAAAAAAAAAAAAAAATTCTAATTCAAATTTAAATGATCTTTTTCTGTACTATGTGGCATATGCCTGAAATGTAGCATAACCCTGATTTATGGTTTTAGTGTATTTTTATTTATTTTAACAGGGTTTTTCAAACTGGGTTCCAAGGAGTGCAAAAGTTTAGAGAAAAGTGTAAAAATTAATAAGTAATATCAGTTCAAATATACAGAATTTATGACATTACGGTTTCATTTTGCTTTGTAAAGACTGGTCAAAAATCATGAGATTAATCTCAGTTGACAGCCATATTTTCTTTCATGTTTGCACATCCGACATTAATCGTTAATAGTAGATAGAAAACAGATAGTGCCTGTTTAATATAAACTAAACATTTTCCAGATAATTTTTCATGTATTTATTATATTTTTATTTTGTACAATATAAATGTAGTCTTTATACTGTACATAAATACAGCTGTCTTTTTATATTTCCAGAAGGGGTTCCCTTGCAAGAGGATAATTATTTGGGCATCAGAAAGTTTGAAAACCCCTGAATTAGCATATTGGCCATAGCACTGGTTATGCACTCTAATATGAAAATAATTATGTAGTCGGTATCTGTTCTGCTTTCTCTGTTTAATTTGGCTCTATTAAGCAGAATGTGTAAAAGTGCGTAATTTTTTCCTCTGTTCCTCAGAATCTGTGTACACAGGCTATGAGGTGGATGATGATTGGTGCTTGTCTGTGCTGCAGTCCTATCAGACAGACAGAGAGCCCCTGTTCCCCTGGAGTGTTGGTACGTGCTTCAAACACAGTAGCCATGCTCACGTCCAGAACTTAAAGGGGTCAATATCACAAAAAACGAATACAAGCCTAAATAAAAAAAACAACTCAAGCTCACTGAAAAGTAAACAATCTGCGATTTAAATAAAAATAATTACAAACAATAGGACAAAAAACTACAGTAGAACAAATAAATAAGAAATGCTACATACATTGTTTAATGTAATCAAATGTATGAAAACACTGCATATTATTCACTGTGTAAATTCAATATATATTTCTTCTTTTTAAAGTTACAAAAGTAATTTAGTCAAGAGCAGTGAGAGATTATCTCTTTTTTGTTGTTTGATTAAAGGGGTCATATGATGTTGCTAAAAAGAACATTATTTGGTGTAATGCAATGTGTTTGTGGTTTAAGGTTAAAAAAGCTCATTATTTTCCACATACTGTACATTGTTGTTTCTCCTTTATGCCCTGCCTTTCTGAAACGCGTCGATTTTTTACAAAGCTCATCGGTCTGAAAAGCAAGGTGTGCTGTGATTGGCCAGCTATGCAGTGCGTTGTGATTGGTCGGATATCTCAAGCGAGTGACGGAAATATTACACACCTACCATATTGTGATGCCGTGTCCTGGAGCGATGAGACAAAAATATGAAAACCCATTATAAATGAGGCATTTGTTGCATCCAGTGGGGACATAATTACTGATTATAATGACTTGTACTGTCTTTTTACGCGTCGCGTAAACATAAAACCTTGTCTGCGTTTGTGATCGGAGAAATGACAAACAACAAGTGCTACTCTACACTGCTCAAAACTCGCGTTTGAATCGTCAGTGGCAAATCCTTTAAATATAAAAAACGTACTTACAGTCTGCGAGTCAGAACAGCCGGCATTGTAGTCTACTCTACCAGGATCAGGAAACAGTCCTCCATAAAATGTGCTGCACACATCTGAATATTTGGGTTAAACTGTTCTGGAACAGTGTTGTAAGTACAACTTAACCACTGATTTCTAGTCGTGTCCTCTTTTGGAAGATCAAACAAAGTAGTTTTGCTTTCAAAACATGGCGGCGGCGGTGGCAGCAATGATAAAGTTAAGCCTTCTTTAGTCTTTGCAACTTTAGGGATCTGATCTATTCACGAACAGCTTGTAACACTCCAAAGAGAAAGGAAAACTTGAAATCGCATCATATGACCCCTTTAAATGGGCTGGTGTGATAGAAACGAGAAAGTTCAGCAGTGACTTCCATCACTATGGCTACAGTTTCTGCTTAAAACAGACAAACATTTGACTGTTGGTGATCTGATCTTCTGTCTTTTGTTTCAGGTGAAGACATGACACTCGAGGGCAGAAGGCAGCTTGCTCTATTCTTGGTATGTTACAAAAATAATAGAGTATACCCAGTAAATAAAAATGCTACTCTTTCTCTCTCTCTATATAATATATAATACTGTTTAAAGGTCATCAATCTAACATGACTTTCCTCTCTTTCAGGCACGAAAGTATATGCGAAACTTTGACACGACACACTGCACTCCACTCCCTATTTCTGAGTTCAGGCCTCCCTGGAAACTAGAGCACTGATGAGACTAACAGGAAGAGAGCGCAGGTCAAAGGGAATCACACACCAGTACATTTGAGTCAGTTCTGTGGGGCGGCATTTAGAATTAGTCGTTTGTTTAAATGTGACGGGGTTACTCGTTTATGTTTGTTCGGCATGGTTTGATAAGAGACATTTTAAATTATTGGCTGTGCTCTGCCTCCATCGCAGTGGGTATTTAACATGAAGATCGGAAAGTGTTGATGCTCAGGTTTGTCGTCACTCTCGTGGCGTTTGTTACTTTTGAGAGACTCTCAGTGACGGGACTCCAAGATCTCTTGCCTCTTTTTCAGCGTGTATTCATTTTTTCCTCTATTTTGTGGAGCACTGTAATTATGAACAAATCGTATCGTAAAAATGTTCTGAATGTTATATTACATATGAATATTAAATAAAACCAGGGGATACTTTTTTTTGTGGTTGAGTTCCTCTGTCTTCAATCGTCATTATTTGTGGTTGACACAAAATAAAAGTTTCTTATTTGAAAGCTACATTGAAATGATACAGTTGTTTTTTGAAATGATGAGCAAGCATTGCGGATATGCTATATATTATGTTAACTTTATAAACAGTTTACATACATGTGTATATATATATATATATATATATATGGTGAGCTTGGTGACTTTATAATACAATTACACTACAGAGAAAATTCATAATTTTCCATCTAAGGTTGATTTTTATTCAAACTTCCCCACATTATTGTTCAGTAGGCAGGACTGACATACATTAGACAGAGAGAACAAAAGAATGAAAACAATTCATAAATGATAGAAAACACATGATGAAGAGGAGTTGTTACATCATCTTTCTGAAGTTCTCGATGGCTTCATTCACTTTTTGCAGTTCTGTTTCATTCTGCCTCAGCTGGAAAGAAAATAAAAATGTTGCACTTTTCTTCAAGACAAGCAACTGCCGAAAACTGTCATTAAAGACCATTTTCTCAGACAAATTGCTTCCCCTCCATCCCACTTACCTTCTCAGCATCTCCCTCCTGCACTTTAACAGGAACTTTCTCCTTGTAGTCGTTCTTGGCCATCTTTTCCTTCATCTTTTCCATCTGTTTCTCCAGCTCCCCTTTCTTTGCTGTCAGTTTAGTGACCTCCTTTTCCAAATCAATCAAACCCTGATTCGCAGAAAAGGATTTAGAAACCGGCATGTTTACAGACACAGAAAGCTCATTACACATTAAAATGTGACGCTGTAGGAGGGGGAAATTAATTCTTGACACAATGCCAAACCAGATGATTGGGTGCTGAGAATGTGTTGATGTTATTTTTAGAGAATCAAATTTAAATAAATACTTTATCTCCTCATTTCCGGTTGATTATATTAATGAATGTATTTGGCAGCTGTGGTGGGATTATGACAACCTGAATAAAACTCTTTCAGGTGTATTAGTGCAAGTCAAAATGCTTTCGTAATGAAACAACATTCTCGAAGACTTTTACCTTCAGCATGAGGTGAACAGTGCATTTATCGGAGGCGATGGCCACCCCACAGCCTTGTGGGATAGTGCTGTCGCCCCCCACAACTGGATAAATAGCCTGAGAGTAAGACAGCGTCTGGATCTGAAGACTGTATGTCTGGACCAGAGCAGCTGTATCAGAGTCTATGCACTGCAGATAACCTGACACAGAGAGATAAAACAGCCACGAGTTACACATCTGCTAATAAAAAATCTGAAATAATCCAAAGACTGTGAGGTTCTCGTACGTTAATACCATATGGTCAGTAGGTTGTGTGTAAACCTCGACATGTGTGTGATATGGGTAATATTGAGACTAGGGATACACCAACTTTTGCCTCTTGTGATTCTGTAATGAAGCTCATTAACTACAACTGTTGTGCAACATGTTTATATTACATTAAAATAAAAATTTACTAAAATACCTTTTAATATATTTCAAAATAATGCATTATATTTTCTTAAATATTTACTATGATCATTATTCTTTAGAAAAAAAACTTTCTATTGATCAAAGAATCCTACAAGAATGTATCATGTTTTCAACAAAAAAGATATTAAAGGGATAGTTCGCCCAAAAATGAAAATTCTGTCATTAATTACTCACCCTCATGTCGTTCCACACCCGTAAAACCTCCGTTCATCTTCAGAACACAAATTAATATATTTTTGATCAATTCTGAGAGCTCTCTGACCCTCCCATATACAGCGTTAAAATAATCCATGTGACATCGGGGGTTCAACCGTAATTTTACGAAGCTACGAGAATAGTATATTATATATATCATTTGTACGCAAAGAAAACTGAAATAACGACTTTATTCAACAATTCGTCTCCTCCATGTCACCCTATAGCGCCATTTTGGAGAATATCCGCTGGACGTAAACAGCGTATGCTATTCTGTGTCAGCTGCACCACACTGATATATATATATATATATATATATATATATATATATATGTGTATATATATATATATGTGTGTGTATATATATATATATATGTGTGTGTGTGTGTGTATATATATATATATATATATGGTGAGCTTGGTGACTTTATAATACAATTACACTACAGAGAAAATTCATAATTTTCCATCTAAGGTTGATTTTTATTCAAACTTCCCCACATTATTGTTCAGTAGGCAGGACTGACATACATTAGACAGAGAGAACAAAAGAATGAAAACAATTCATAAATGATAGAAAACACATGATGAAGAGGAGTTGTTACATCATCTTTCTGAAGTTCTCGATGGCTTCATTCACTTTTTGCAGTTCTGTTTCATTCTGCCTCAGCTGGAAAGAAAATAAAAATGTTGCACTTTTCTTCAAGACAAGCAACTGCCGAAAACTGTCATTAAAGACCATTTTCTCAGACAAATTGCTTCCCCTCCATCCCACTTACCTTCTCAGCATCTCCCTCCTGCACTTTAACAGGAACTTTCTCCTTGTAGTCGTTCTTGGCCATCTTTTCCTTCATCTTTTCCATCTGTTTCTCCAGCTCCCCTTTCTTTGCTGTCAGTTTAGTGACCTCCTTTTCCAAATCAATCAAACCCTGATTCGCAGAAAAGGATTTAGAAACCGGCATGTTTACAGACACAGAAAGCTCATTACACATTAAAATGTGACGCTGTAGGAGGGGGAAATTAATTCTTGACACAATGCCAAACCAGATGATTGGGTGCTGAGAATGTGTTGATGTTATTTTTAGAGAATCAAATTTAAATAAATACTTTATCTCCTCATTTCCGGTTGATTATATTAATGAATGTATTTGGCAGCTGTGGTGGGATTATGACAACCTGAATAAAACTCTTTCAGGTGTATTAGTGCAAGTCAAAATGCTTTCGTAATGAAACAACATTCTCGAAGACTTTTACCTTCAGCATGAGGTGAACAGTGCATTTATCGGAGGCGATGGCCACCCCACAGCCTTGTGGGATAGTGCTGTCGCCCCCCACAACTGGATAAATAGCCTGAGAGTAAGACAGCGTCTGGATCTGAAGACTGTATGTCTGGACCAGAGCAGCTGTATCAGAGTCTATGCACTGCAGATAACCTGACACAGAGAGATAAAACAGCCACGAGTTACACATCTGCTAATAAAAAATCTGAAATAATCCAAAGACTGTGAGGTTCTCGTACGTTAATACCATATGGTCAGTAGGTTGTGTGTAAACCTCGACATGTGTGTGATATGGGTAATATTGAGACTAGGGATACACCAACTTTTGCCTCTTGTGATTCTGTAATGAAGCTCATTAACTACAACTGTTGTGCAACATGTTTATATTACATTAAAATAAAAATTTACTAAAATACCTTTTAATATATTTCAAAATAATGCATTATATTTTCTTAAATATTTACTATGATCATTATTCTTTAGAAAAAAAACTTTCTATTGATCAAAGAATCCTACAAGAATGTATCATGTTTTCAACAAAAAAGATATTAAAGGGATAGTTCGCCCAAAAATGAAAATTCTGTCATTAATTACTCACCCTCATGTCGTTCCACACCCGTAAAACCTCCGTTCATCTTCAGAACACAAATTAATATATTTTTGATCAATTCTGAGAGCTCTCTGACCCTCCCATATACAGCGTTAAAATAATCCATGTGACATCGGGGGTTCAACCGTAATTTTACGAAGCTACGAGAATAGTATATTATATATATCATTTGTACGCAAAGAAAACTGAAATAACGACTTTATTCAACAATTCGTCTCCTCCATGTCACCCTATAGCGCCATTTTGGAGAATATCCGCTGGACGTAAACAGCGTATGCTATTCTGTGTCAGCTGCACCACACTGATACGTTGTTTTCGCTCAAATCAAAGCGTAAATAAACATAGAAAACGTATCAGTGGATACTCTTTAAAATGGCGCAACAGTGACGCAGAGATGACAAATTGTTGAATAAAGTCGTTATTTCTGTTTTCTTCGCATAAAAAAAATTATCTCGTAGCTTCGTAAAATTATGGTTGAACCTCTGATGTCACAATGATTATTTTACCGATCTCCTTGCTACGTTTCTGAACCTTGATCCTGTAAATTACATTGCTGTCTATGGGAGGGTCAGAGAGCTCTCAGAATGCATAAACAATATCTTAATTTGTGTTCTGAAGATGAACGGAGGTCTTACGGGTTTAGAACGACTAAATTAGTGACAGAAATTTCAGTTTTGGGCGAACTATCCCTTCAAGCAGGACAACTGTTTTCAACACTGATAAGAAGAAATGTTTCTTGAGCAGCAAATCAGCATATTAAAATGATTTCTGAAGGTTCCTATGACACCAAAGACTGGAGTAGTGGCTGCTTTGCCATCATAAGAATAAATGATATTTTAAAATACATTAGAAAACTTTTTTTTTCACTGGAATAATATTTCACAATATTCTGCTGCATTTTAAAAAAAAACTGCCAACCCCAAACATTTGAACAGTAATGTACATGGCCATTATTACAATTCTATACTATTGTGTCTTAATAAACTAAAAATGCAACGCAAATTTTTTTTTTTTTAAATCAATCAAATATCTGTTATCGACTAATAAAAATAAAATGAATATCAGATGACAACCAACAAATATTGCACTCATTTTTTTATGACAATCCAGCATTGGATTTGGATCAGTCACATCTGTTTAAAATGGTCCATATACCAATATTGACCAACGCTTCGGATCAGTGCATCCCTAGTTGAATCTAGTCAGTTTGAAATGAGTGTGCAGTGTACTGTGTGAGGTCTCACAGTCAGCGCGGGTCTTGGTCAGGTTATAATCGGCCCTGAGTGATCGGATGGTTTTGACCACAGACATGACAAACTCCATCTGACGGTCGATGTCCTCGCTGTGCCAACAGAACTACAAACAAACAAAACACACCATTTACACCAGAAACCACCACAGAATGCATTTTGTTCAGACAACATCCTCTCTCTGCTCTTCTTTTCATTAAAACTTTAAAGTACCAAAGGTTATTTTTAATCTAGTCACCTTCACATTCCACTACACAGCCTCAATGAATGATGAAAAATTATGCAGGATAAAAATCTAAAAAGAGCTCATAGTGGGACATCAAAGACTATATTATACTATATACTATATGATAATCATATACTATATGATTAATAGACTGTTGTGGGTTTTTGTTCCATTTAGGCTGGTTCTCTGTGTGATTTTGCCCCCTTCTGACCAGACAATTCTTGTTAAAGTAACCAGCAAGTAGTACTTGATATGTGTAGGTGATATCATGGACACATCACTGTCCTGACTTTCTACTGACTACACACTCAAATCCACCTGACATTTCATTGGCTGAGGTGAACCACATGGGCAGCATGATGATTGCGTCCTGACACTCTTTATTAGAACAGAATAAAATTTTTACCAGCCTAGATACTAGAAAACACTGCCATTACGCTTGACCTCTGCTCACCTCTGATGTTTCTGGATAAAGTGTGACACAGATGCTGGAAGTGCTGTCCTGAGCAAGTCTTCTTGGCAAGCGCTGGAAGAGCTCTTCAGTCACAAAAGGCATGAGGGGAGACAGGAGGCGGAGTCCCACCTCCAAACAGGTGTAGAGAGTCTGTCTGCAGATGTCCGCTTGCTTTTGTCCCTCAGAGTCCGTCCTGCTCAACACCGGCTTCACACTCTCCTACAACGGCAGAAAAAAACCTCTCAAATTTAACAAATTCCCCTCCAAAAATCGTATTGGATAATGTCTTTATCCAATAATGTCTTATTTAGAAATGTGTGTGTATTATAAAAATGAAGAGGTCAAACGCAAATGTGTGAATTCATTACCAGATAGACATCGCAGAGCTCGTACAGCCAGAAATTGTAGATGGCAGTGGTGATTGCAGGAAAATCATAGGCCTGAAATCCGCTATCACACAGGGCTACTGCTGCGCTCAGACGGGACAGAATCCAGCGGTCAGACACACTCTCACTGCCACACAGCTGAGAGACACAGAATCACATGTTAAACAGAGAGGGAAATCAACCCACAATACAGTTAGCATGTCCGGACACATCCTCCATCTATCTATCACTTCCTACTGTCCATCTCTCTCACCTGAGCTTTCTCCCAGGGCACAAATCCCTCCCCCAGAGTCCTCATAGCAAACTTCACTGCGTTCCACAGCTTGTTACAGAAATGCCTGTATCCCAGAATCCTGTTCACATCCAGATTAATGTCTCGGCCTGGGAGAAATAAACAAAAACGCACATAATGCTTTATGTAACCGTGTACCTTATCATATCTTAAACTAATCTAAAAGGTGCTTCAATGCTATATTTGTTAAGTACACTAATAAATTCACAATGAATAACATTGTGAAAACTACTATTTGTCTAATGCTGTAACATTTTTTACCTTGACTGGTGTAAGCACACAGAGCAAATCTGAGCGCATCAGTCCCGCATTCTGGAATTCCACTGGGATAGTCAGATTTCTACTGAGCGGACACAAACAGAATAGAATAGAAAAGCATTCCAGCAACTAAGGGTACAATAACAATAGATTTCAAGAAATCTCAAGAAAGAGGGTTTTACCTGTCCCTGTCTGGCCTTCTCAATCTCCGGAGGGTCAAGATTGCTGTCTGTGAGCTGAGCATGAAGACCCTACACACACACACCTCAAATTAATTTTGCTCAATAACACCTTATGTAGCCACGTGGTGTTGCTGGAAGAGCTGTTGTTGTTTATTTACCTCCAGTGAAATGCCAGTGATGACGTCCAGAGGGTCGATGACGTTACCGAGAGACTTGCTCATTTTCCTGCCATGGGCGTCCCGTACCACTGCATGCAGGTACACCTGAACAAACACGTCAGGTTTATACCACAAGTTACGAAACACAAGTTAGTCTAGCTTTGATTGCAGTGACAAAGCTTGATACATCTGATACACACCCACCTCTTTGAAAGGTAGTTTTCCAGTGAGCTTGAGGCCCATCATGACCATACGAGCCACCCAGAAGAACAGGATATCATGGCCCGTCTCTAACAGTGTGCCTGGGTAGAAGACTCTCAGATCCTCTGACTAACACACATATATTGCAAAATTACATAATCAGTAAGTCTAGGTATTGAAAATATGACATAATAGGACATATTGTC